CCTGGATCCCGACACCACCGACGCGGCCTACTCCGACATGGTGGGGTATCCAGCCGTCAGCACGGACGACGTCGACGACAACGTCGGTCAGGTCTTCCAGCCCACCAGGTGCGTCCCGGTAGCTCCCCTGCTCGACCGCGCAGCCACCGCGCGCGGCCTCGATGTCCTTTCGCGGCTGGTGCTCCACGCGTGCAGCACTCACCCTCGCGCTGGTGCATGGGCCCCCTGGCTCTGGGAAGACGACCACCGTCGTGGCTCTTTTCTCAGCGTGGGCCCCCGCCCTTCGCAACGGCCATGCCGTCGGGGTCTTCTCTGCTTCCGGCGCCGCCGCCGACCAGCCCCTTAAAGCCTTCTCTGCCGCCGAGGAAAAGGGCCTGTTCGAGGACAACGTCGGCTTCCCCCACGCCTCCGTTCGATTCGCTCGCCGGGAGAGAGTCGATCGGGAACTGGTCCACCTCGCCCCAGAAGGGCGCTGCCAAACTGCCCGCGGGGCGTATCCCCCTGAACACGGTGGCAATACCGTGTTCAATTCCTACAAGAAGCAGCTGCTCCAACGGGCATGTGCAGTCTTCGCGACGCACGAGGCCGCCGCAGAGTTGGGCGGCAAGGCCTCCCTCAGCCTCCCACGGGGGGTAGTAGTCGAAGCTGGCCAAACGAGAGAGGGGGGCGCGGCCATGTCCCTGGTCCACATCATACGTAGCGGTGGGCACCTCGTGGTGGTCGGCGACCCCCGGCAGCTCCCCCCCGCCGTCATGTCCAGGAAGGCAGCGGATATGGGCCTCGCCCTGTCTATCTTCCAGCGGCTCCACGACTCGCTCGGGGACTAGACGGGAGATCAGAAGGGCGCCTGCATCACCCTGTCACTGACATGCCGTATGCGCCCGTTCCTCATGTTCTTCCACTCCACGGCGTTCTACAAAAAAGGCCCTCCTCAGCGGACTTACCAGCCCCCTCGCTGACCGCCCCCTGGTGCCATGCTTGCCTTGGTCCGCAGTGAAGGACCTCGCCCACAGGCAGCTCGAGTACCTCGCGGGCGTCCTCATGGTTCGCGCCGAGGACTTGAGGGATGACTGCGACGGGCTCCACCCCCACGTCCAAAACACGCACGTGAACGACGGCCGCCGCACTTTGCTGGTGGACAATAAATGGTATGAGCTCACGTCCCTCCTAGCCGAAGGGTGCGCTAGCATTCCAGAGGCCGCCCTCACGGTCGACCTCGTTCGAGCCCTCCTACCGACGCTGGAAGACGGTCTCACCGTCAAGGTCGCTGTTCCATACAGGCTGCAGAAGGGGATCCTCAAGCACGTACTGCCGCTCAGCCCCCTCGCCCGGCAAATCGCCATGAGAGACGACAAGAACACCGACGGGCCCGACTCCGACAACCGCCCCCCCTGGTCCCACTCGCGTCGCGTCGGATTGCGTCGCCTCTCGTTTTTTTGCGTCGCCGCCGGGGCGGCGCCGACGCCCTCCCCTGCCGCCGCCCCAGAGAGGGGCCGCTCGCCCGCGGCCTCGGTTCAGGCCTCCGCGCGCGCGGACCCGGTGCCTAGCCCCATGGGCCCAGACGGCGCCCCCGAGAGGCAAGGACGGGGGCGCGTCTTCAACTTTCAGCCCTCGGGCGTCCACTCCCCGCGCGGTCTAACTCCAACCGCGCGCGGGGGTTTGTGGGCAAGCCCAACAGAGTCAACGTTGGGCTGACACGCGCCAGGCGCGGACTCGTGATAGGGGGCGGCCGCGCGATGGCCTCCGTGACCGAGTCCAAGCAACGGTTCTTTTCCATATGCGGGCGCCTCGCAGGTCTCTGGGTGCGTTTTCGCCCCCGCCCCGGCCGCGGCCCCGGGGGCCGCCCTGAGCTGCCGACCGCCCCCTCCTTTGACCCCGTTCACGACCTCGCTTCGCGGGCCCCGCCTGGGCCCGACACCCTTGCCGCCGGCGGTGCGGACGAGGCCGAGGTCAAGATCGACCAGGCTGTGGCCAAAATGGGAGAGGAACGCGCCGAGAGCTTCAACGCGCACTTCAGCCTCCCCCCAGACGATGACTTCCGCTGGGGCGACCACGGCCGTCAGGTGGAAACAGCGTTGGGAACCTCCTGACCGACCTCGCGCCGCCCGCGGTCCTCTTCCTTGTCGCGGGGCTCCGCCCCCACGAGTGCAACTCCGAGGGCGCCCCCTCCGACCCCGCCCAGTTCGATGGGGAAGCCTGGAGCCACTTGGGGTACCTGTTCGACGTGGAGCTCGGACTTGACGCAGGCAACTTGGTCTACAACCTGACCTGGGCCACCCTGGTCTGGGCGGTCGGCCTGGGCGCCCTCTGGGGCGCCCCCTGGTGCCAGATCTGCCTCAATGAGCTTCCCCCGCGCCCGCGTGTCCAGGGGGGAACTGCGCGCCGACCCCAGAACGAAGGGCGCTGCACCCCCGCTGAGCTCCCACGCCAGATCCCCCAAGCATGGTCCGCCGGGATCAGACGCTGCCTGCGACACCTCGTCTACCCCGGCTTTGACGCCTTGACCGGCCTACTGCAGGGCCATGACCAACCGGCCCAGCATCCAGCCGACCTGCTCGACCCCAACGACCAAATTTTGTCAACCGAAAGGGCCCGCTGCGCCGTCATTATCATGTTGCTCATGAAGTTCGAGCCACGTGCGCACCTCTGGCCCTTCCCAGACCCCTCTGGGTCTGGAGATACCTTGGGGGCCATCCTCGGGATCTGCTGCCCTTGGCAAAGCGACCGCGCCCACTTTCGCATTTGGTTCGCGGAATCATGGGGTCTCGCCCTTCACGACTTTCGCCGGCTGCACAGCCGACTCGAGTCTTTGATCGCCTTCGTGGGCAAGCTAGTGGTTGTCGCTCGCCACCACCCCGCCGCCAAATAAGCGAACAGTCACTACCTACGCCGATATGGAGAAGTTCCCGTTCATGCTGAAAGCCCCGATGCTGGTCCTTGAGAAGATCGTGAAGCCTGCCAACCTTGTCATCCTATCTCGGTCAGATTGCAGCATCTGCGCCCTGCGCCGACCTCGTGGGCAGCGACAGCGGCCTAGGTGCCGACGACGCCCCCTCGTAGCTGACATTCCTCGGCGGAGGCTTTCAGTCGCTCGGGTCCCCCTGGGCAGGGCGCTGCTCCCCGCTCCACTTCCCAGCGTGGCCTAGACACCCTGCTACCTGGTCCCTGGCGGCGCCTGGTTCAGCCTGGGTCGGGAAGTGGCTAGCTTTCGGTGCGACCGGTGCTTCAAACGTGCTCTCAGGCGCACCGACGGCACGCGGCTCAACGACGCCGTCCGCTCGTACCTAGCGCAGAACCGCTCGCAAACACGCGCCGACGGGTTGGATTGCACGTGGCTGTGCGGCCAATGTTGGGTGCAAGAGGTAGAGAAGCAGGGCTGCCAAGTTCCCCCGGAGGGGGCCCTCCAATAGCAGGTGCAAGCCTTCGCTGGCCAGGAACCCCACCAGGCCCCCTCCTTTCCAGCGCGCGCGCCTGGCGCTGCCCCCCGCCGTGCCCCCCAGTGTCCTCGAGGAATGCCTGCTGGAGCCGACGGGCCTCCAGGTCCCAAGGAATGCCGACGCCGCCCTGCCGCCTGCCCGGCTGGAAGACGACGGATTCGGTTATGCAGCGTCAGAAACTGGACGCCGCGCTGCGACGTGCGACGGCTGCCCCCCCGGGGCCCCTGCGCTGGGCTGTTTCGCGTGGAAGGCTGACAGGGAGGCGCGTGGCGCAGGCGCCGAAGGACTCCCCGCATGGGAGGACCGTGCTGTGGCCTGGCCTGACCGCAGGTGGAGTGCAGCGTGGATGCGCCGCCGGTGCCTCGTCCACGCATGGGGCGTTCGGCCCGGCATCGTCGAGGCCCTCCTTGACTTCGACGCCCGCCTGACTTACCCTGGCCCCCATCTGCCCGACGAGCCACCACTGGCCCGCGAGCTAGCACCCAACCGCGCCTCTGCAACAAGGTCTGACGCGTTCAGCAAGAGTGATGATCCCCTTCATCCTCTTTCCTCCCGATCAGTACGGGAGACCCCCCACGCTGCGCGGTGCCGTGGCGGTGCGCAACCTATTCCCACTCGCCGATCCCCCAAAGGCCCCGCGCTTGCGCGCGTCGACATCGACAACCTGCAGGCTGCCACCGACGACGGGCTGAACCGCCCTGATGCAAAGCCCATCGAGGCGAGGCTTATCGACTTCCTGCGCGACCTGGACCCATCCCTGGGCGACCTCTGGAGGGACTTTGCAGTAGTGCAAGGCAGAGACGTCAAGGGCGCCGAGCCCCCCGACAATTGGGATCCGCGCTCGCTTCGCCCCTTCCTGAAGAAGATCTACGGCGAAAGAGTCGCGCCGGACTAACTCCCCGCCGAATTCTACTGGCACGGCAAGCGGCTGGCTGCCGCCCGCGTGGTCGCTCACCTCTGCTTCCGCTCCCTTCGCAGCCCGCTGCGCGCCAAATGGTCCCAGCACGCCAAACAGTGGCCCCTGGGCGGTTCTTCCCCGCTCCGCCACGCGCTGAACGCCCTTGTGGGATTCCTGAGTCAGGTTAACTCCGACCTGCTTGCCTCTGGGTCGTTTCGCGAGCTGGCCAAGGACTGCCCTTTCGAGTGCGCGCAGGAACTATGCAGACAGCTCGACGATGCCCCCACCAGGGGGCACAGCGACAACGATCGGTGGAAGCAGATCCACGACGAGCGAAAGATGACAACCGACCCACCCGCTGAGTTCCACACTTTTCCCGGTCACTCGTATGACCAACCAGACTGGGCCATTCCACCGCTCTCCCCCTCGACGCCCGCGCGGAGAGGGGCCGGCCCTCACCGCGCCTGCAGGGCCAGCCCCCGCTCTCCAGCAGACAGCCACCCGCCGCTGGCGAGCCCAGTTGCCGAATGCCCCACCGCCTGTGCGATGCCCCAGGTCACGTCTCCCCCGCGTGAACTTATTGCAGCGGGCCCCTCTCCCACCGGCATGGGCGCTGGCGCAGCCGCGCGCGGCGATGCCATCTCGGGCGCTTCTGCGGCTGACGCGCAGGTTGCTGAGGCCCGACCTGTTCCGCCCCCTCGGGTGCGAGAAGGGGCCGCGGTCGCCCTGTCCCCGCCCCCCAGCTCGCGCCTGCCTGTCCTGCAAGTCGACCCCCCCCCCACAGCCCTGAGGCGGCACCCAGGCCCTGCAGCCCCTGCGGGCGACCCTAGCGAGTCTCCGCAGACGCGCGGACAGGACGATGGGAGGCTTAATTGCCCCTCCGAGCGCAGGGCCCCGCCCTCCCCCGGCATTCTCACCCTGGAGCGGCCCTGGTGGGGCACGGCGACGCGGGGCGAGTGCGGCTGGGGCGAGGGCTGGGGTGATCGCCGCCCACGACGGCAATGCGAGTCCAGCCGCAGCGGTCCTTGCACGGGCAACTTGTCCGGATGGTCGGGCTGGTCCAACTGGGCGGCCAACGAGCGCTGGGGTCGGACCTCACACGCCCGCGCGCCCTCCTACCCCGCCGACAACCCAACCCCCGGGTCCGCCCCGTGGCCCCCCTACGAAGACGCGCAATCCGATCCCTCGCAGGACCTGATCGACCCCCGCGCTGGCCGAAGCATGTACCGAGCGCGTCTGGAGCGGGTCCAGCTTCCCCCGCGCCATGGCGAGGCTCCGGCTGAGACTGTGAAGCGGCTCCAGAAGGAGCTTGGGGCGCACTTCGCCGGGATCGGGCACCAGTGGACTGCCGAACATCCCGCCAGGTCCGGCTACATCTATGCCGACCCTACTATGCAGGCGCCCGACTCATGGAATCGCTTCTTCCGTGAGTGGCACCGCCGCAATTGCCATCTCCTGAGAATGGGCGAGGCTCTACGCCTCGACGTTGATTGGGCCGCGGTCCGTGGTAGGTTTGCAGGCAGGGCCAAGGGCCAGGGCGCCCTGGGCAAAGCCAGAGGCAAGGGGCACCGGGAGGACAGCGACCCCAGCTTGACCAGGTCGGGGGACCCCTGGCGGGCCACGAGTTCGCGCCAGCCCTGGGTATACCCCTAATACCTTATCACGGGTCCCCGCCCTCCCTCGGCGCAGTCGCACCGCGGCTGCATCCCCAATGGTCTGGCACCCCAGACGGCTCTACCAGTGCCGTTTGCCTCCCTACGCTTGGCGACAGTGCTACCCATGACGATGCGGAGGTTTTCCTTTCACTGGGGCCTGCCCCGAGCGGGGCCCCTCGGCGCGCCGCTTCGGCTCCGCGCCTGATGCCGCCCCGGGCGCGCCCAGCAGGGGCTGTCCGCTCGCCCCTGGCAATCAGGAGACTCAACTCCTGGGCCCCCCTTTGCGGCCTCTCGCCCCCTGGGTGGCCGCCGCCTCCCCCTGGCCCGCCTTGGGCGCAGCCTCGGGGCCTGGTCCCCACTCCAGTGGGGTAGCTTGTGCTGCTAGGCCCCTCGCGACACCACTTGCAGCCTAGTGCTGCCCTGCGCCACCGCGCGACCGCGCGTCGCCTCCCACCCCGCCTGCCCATTGAGGCTGGCGCCTGCCATTGCGCGACTGTCAGTCGCCTCCTGCCACTACTCCTCTCCGCACCCTCGGTGCTTCCAACGCTCGCTCCATTCTGCGGCTGCTGCCGCTGCCCCGCGTCCGTCCCCCGCCCGCCTCCTGGTTCCCGTCTCCGCCGGCCCCCCCCCCGGTCATCGATGTCCCCCCCAGGGCGTCGCGGCCGGTGCCGGCGGCCTCGCTGCGGAGCGGGCTGCTTCGGGCTGGCTTGACCGCCCGCGCCGTCGCCTCCGCCCGACTGAGTGCCGGCGCCCCTGCCTGGGGTCACCGTTCTTCCCAGGGGGCGCTGCTTGCACCGCTGGGCTGCCTCGCCTGGGCGCCGCCGCGCGCTCAGCGACGTCGGGCCCCGCGCCCCCACAACGCCCGACGTGCTCCGTTCCCGCGTGCGTGGTGACTCTTGGCGCCGCGCTCTGCCGCCTCGCTGTCGGGTTGCTCGGCCGTCGACCCCCCGCCGCGGCTGTCGCTTTGCCTTCCATTCGCTTCCTCGTGGTCGACGAGCGCTTGCACGCCGCCTGGCTTGTCTCGGTCCGTTTCCTGGACATGGTCTCGGGCTAGAGCTACTTCGCCATTTTGGTTAGCATCGAGGCCTGCATCTTGGCCTTGCACGGCTTCGGCGTGTCCTACCTGGTCTCCAGCTTCGGTTTCGCCGTCTGAGCCGTGGCCTAGTTTGCTCCTGCGCGCTTAGTGCCTGATTCAGTCCGCTGCTCGTTAGCTGCGCTTCGATTTGACGCCGGGCGATTTGTCGCTACGGTCGCGATCAAAAGTATCCCAACCAGCCAATTCAGATGCCCTGCCCATGAGAGCTGACGAGGAAATTGGCGAAGAGACTCTAGGAAACAGAGCAAGCAACCAGGGTGAGCCGAGAGATCTGTGGAAGCATGGGGGAGGCCTTGGAAGGCCTCTTCGGGCCATCTCTGGCGGCCGCTATGGGGCGAGGGGGAGAAGAGGAGGTGGCACAGGAGGAGGAGGATGAGGACGAGCAGGAATTGGAGGACGAGGATGCAGATGAGGACGAGGATGGGGAGGACGAGGAGTAGGATGAGGACGACGCGGACGAGGACTCATGGAACCACCTAGAGGTATTCTTGCGGCTGCTGCTGCTGCTGGTGCTCTGGGTTTTGTTTGGGCCCCTCTTGGAACCGTCTTGGTCACCCTGGAAGGCTTCTTGGGATCATCTTGGAGGCCATCGATTACAGGATGGGGGGGTCCCAATTCAGCTCCTTCTTCAGGAGCCCGCGAACCGCTTCTTGGGGTTCTCTTGGGGCGCTCTTGGGCGCTCTTGGAGCGGTCTTGGGGCCGCTTGGGGCATCTTAGGAGCCATATTGAGCCAACTAGTGTTATCTGAACCATCTTGGAGGTCATTTTGGGCTCTCTGAGGCCCTTCGGGGGCCTCTTGGAGCCGTTTCGGGGCTTTCTTTGGGCCCTCTTGGGGTCCTCTTGTGGCCCAAACGAGCTGTATTGGGGCTCTCTTGGGAGCCTTGCAGCGCCTCTTGGGGCCATCTTCAAGGCTGTCGGTGAAAAAAATGAGGGGGGTCTTAGGCTTGCCCCCCCTCGCCCCTCCCTTCCCCTCGGAGGCCACGGTCCATGTGAGGGGTGTCAAAAATTGGTTCTCGCAGGGGCTGAAAAAAGGAGCGCTATGACCGCTCGCGACTGCCCCCGTCCATGTCCATGGGAGGGGGTAGGGGGGGGAGTAAATCCCTCCCCGGAAGGGGCAGAAGGGGATTTTGGAAGAGGAAATCAAGTCTTCGTTAGACCACGCGTCGCCCAAAAAACTGGTGGGATTATTGCTCAGGGCGGTTCTGCGTGACAGTCCTTTCAGTCATTTCTGAGTCGTCGTTCTACACTATCCAGGGCTCCGATCGCTCGTGTCTTCGGCGAGGTTCGTAGCGAATGCGTGCGCCTGCCCCCGGTTTGCAGTCAAGACGCTGACACGAGGACCACTTGGGCCCAGGGGGGGCTTTGGATTTCGGGCCATTCCCCAAATCTGGGTCGGGGAACCTCTTCGTGGCTGGGGCTAGTCAAGGCCAGAACAGTTTGTTCGTTCCTTATATGTGGCTTTCCTCACAGTATCACAATGACTGCAGTGCCCCAAGCTGTCCGCCCCTTTTGTCTCCGCTGGTCGGCCTCTGAGCACCTGGCGATGGGTGTGCTGCCCTCGCGTGAGGTGGGGACTGAGGCCGCCGCCGCCGCCACTCCCGTTGTCGTCATCGTCGTCGTCGTCGAGTGGGAACGCATTCTGACATGCAAACGAGAAGCCGAATACACTCTATTGAAGCGAAAGCGACGCTGACCGAGGACCACCGAAACGCATCGGAGGAGGTTGAGCGAAGGTCATCAGGCCTGGCTCGGACGGGCAGCCTGCGGGGCCGCTACACTACGCGGGGCGTCGCCGCGGCCAAACCTGCGGCTGGACTAGCCCTGCACCCTGCACCCTGCGCGTTGTTCGATGGAGAGGGAACTGGAGGAGCCGAGGACTCGAAAGGGGAGTGGAAGTCAACAGGCAGAGAGGCGCCCGTCTTGGGGTGCACCCCCCCGAGCGCCTGTGCCAACGCATCCAGCTGCGCCTTGCGGCGCTTGGGCTCCCTGGCGAGACCTCTACACGCCTCGCGCAATTCGGATTTCCGTCCCACCAGGAGCCACGTGGAGGGGAAATTTCAGCACGTGCAGACGAGAGCATGGCCCAGCTGGGGCATCTGGGGGCCCATCTCGGCGAACGCACTCAGGTCGTTAGGGGGATCGGCGCCTCGATCCTCTCAGAAGGTGGGGGCAGGAGCTCCACGCAGTCGGCCTCGCATCCGCAGCGAGGAGCGCAAGCCCTACACGTGGATCAGCCCAGTCACTCGTGGAAACATCGCCCACGCCTCCAAGCGTCCTCCGGGTACGCTCGGTCGCGCCCAGCGTCCGCTCGGGCGCGGGCGTGCGCGCGCCGTGCGACCTATCCCGGAGCGACCGAAGCGTGAGCTCCGCCATGGCAGACCTGTCTGGGGCGGCATAGAGGGGGGTGATGACTAGGGGGGGTGGATATCATGGCGTGGGCCATGACATTTCCCCAGATCTCATGGCGCCTCTTCTTATTTCATTACGTACCTGCCCCCCCCTGGCCGCGCACATGCTGCCGGCCATGATTTGCGGTCCCCCCTCTTGGACGCCCCCCTCTTGGCCGTCCCCGAACCTGCGGCCCCCCCTGCGCCGCACTTCGCCTGTGTCTGGAAGACGCGCGAACGCAGGCTGCGAGGAGCTGAGGATCGCGCCCTCCTTTCGTCTCTCCGCTTCTTCCTCCTGGTCCGCCTCCTCGTCCGCCTCCGTCTGCCGTCCTCCTGCCTCTCCTCTGCTCTCCGTCTTGCTGCTCCCGGTCGCTCCGCCTTTGGAATGATTTGGGCAGCTCACTTGCCACGGCTCGGACGCTTGCTTCCCCCGCTTATGATTGCAGAGACCCAGCTCGGCGATCCTGGCCACGGCCACTCCGAGGAATCGAGCCTGGGCCTGCACCCTGCTGGCTTGGATATCGAAGGCTTCGATTGCAGCGCGTGCGGAAGAGCTCCCTGCCCACCCATTGCCTCGGACATCGAGCAGCGACACTCCTTTTTCAAGCGCCTCCGAAACGGAAAGATGCGAGGGAACCCGAGCAAACTCTGGCCGTCCATGTTCTCCGGCAGCACGAAAAAGGGGTCGCCCAACCCGAGGGTAGGCCTTTGGAAGGAGCAAGCGCAGGACGCCACTTGCTGCCTTCTGCGCAAATGTATTCAAGTCGCTTACAGGCGCGTGCCAGGAAAGAGCTGAATCGCACGCAAACTGGCGAGGCGCTCCGCTCTTCCCACGGACTGTAACATTACAGGGCCGCCTTGCGCTCGTGCTCGCGCATCAAGGCCAGCTCCTGGTCGCATTCCTCGTTCGCGTTGACCAGCTCCACGGCCCGCTTGCCAACTCGGCCTTCTGCCCCGATCTGCTTGGCCTTACCACCCTGCCTCTGAGGGATCTGCGACAGAGGCTTGCTCGAGACGTCCACCGGCTTCTCCTCCTCCGTCGGAGCCAGGGCGATAACGGGCCTGCTGCAGCTCTCTCTTCCTCACCAGCTTCTTGGCGTCCAGTGCGAAAGCGTCCGCTGGTTACTCGGTATCCGACTTCTGGGCTGGTGCATTCGGTGTCTTGGGCTTGTCGATGACTTTGCCTTCGCGGCGCCGCGGGGTGCACTGCTGCTTCTTGTGCTTCGGCACGACTGGTTCACGGGCGATCGAATGATGCCTGCAGAGGGGGGCGCCTGAGCTCCGCGTCTTTGGTAGGTGGGCATGATGAGGAAATGTGTGCAACCGCCGCACTTGCCCAACCATTGCGCCATTGTCCCTGTTGCTGCTTCAGTTTGCCATGGCTTGCCTGTGGCTGAGCAGAAGGGCCGTCTCGATCAGTTGGCTCGCCGACACGTCCCGCTCCAAAGTGCGTGTCTGCAACACCCACCCCCCTGAGCTTGGGACGGCTTACAAGGGAGGAGGAGGATCAGGAGGAGGAGGAGGAGAAGGAGGAGAAGGAGGAATGGATGGATGGGGGAGAAGGGAGGAGGATGAGGGGGGGAGGAGGGAGGGAGGGAAGACGGGAGGGGTAGAAGTACAAACGATCATCAATTCAGCCAGGTGGAACGAGTCAGCGGGCTCCGCCCCTTCCCCACCTTCCTTCCCATAACATAACAACAACTTGTTACATAAATTAGTAGTGGGAGTGGAACGTGTTCCCACTCAGCGGACGGAAAACGATCTCGCGCGGTCCCGCTTCCGACGACTTGGAGAAGGGACGGTTACGCGTGCTGTGCAGAAACGGGATGCGAAATTCGGCAACTCTTGCGCGGAGCTGCGGCGGGAGCACGATTCATCCTTTCTCGAACGGCCGAGTTTCCGATGAGCGCGGCGCAGACGAATCACGCGCCGCGCTGGCATAGCACTGCCCTGTGCGCGAACGAGTTGCGCGGCGCTCGGGCGAGGACAGCGTCTCGCCCACCCTCGCGCCGTGCCGATTGGCGAGCGCCACGCGCGCCACGCCCGCGCTGGATCGCCACTTCCAGGAGGAATGCGCACGGAACCTGGGCGAGGGCGACAAGTCGCCCGCTCGCGCGGGCCGTTCCAACCTTGGCGAGTGGAAACATGCGTCACGTTCGGGCGGGAACGCCACTGCCAGGCGAGATCTGCGCGGCGCCGAGGCGAGCGAAAGCAAAGTTTTTGGGTTTTCGCGCGTCGGCGTCGAAACAACGGGAATTCAGTTCTTAGGAAGCGTGAGCGCGGCGCCGGGGCGAGAGCGACATTTCGCCCTTTCGCGCGCGATGTGCGCCGCGCCCTGTTCCCGCCAAGCATTTCGCGACGTGGATGCGGAAACGTTAATACTAAGAGGAAAGCGCCCTTTTTTGAACAAGTAGAATGTACCTACCCGTGGATGATGCCCTATCGGCAATCTGATCGGGTGGAGAAGTAGGAGTACATATATCTATATGCATATACACATACTTTTACACTATATATAGTCTGGATGAATACCAGGTCCCCAGCCCGGGGGCACCGCCCACCTCAAAACCATCGGGCCCCCTTTTTTGATACCCCCGCCCTGGCGCCTCCAAGGGGTCTCCAGACGGCCCAGGAGGCCTCCAGGAGGCCTCCAAGACGGCCCCACGAAGCACCCAAGATGTCCATGAGGTCTTTGAGACGCCACAAGATCGGTCCAAGACGCTCAAGATAGTCCCTAGACGGCCCAAGAGGCTTCCAAGTCGCCCCAAGAGGCCTCCAAGAGGCTTTTTCAATAGGGCCACAAGAGGCAACACATTGTGTTTTTTCGCTGATTTTCGAGTTTTTTTTGTGGTTCTCACCTTTTCGGCTTCCCGACGCGCCAAGATAGCCGAAGAGGCTCCCGAGATCGCCCAAAGGCCCAAGAGGCTCCCAAGACGGCCCCAGGGCAGCCCGAGAGGGACCCAAGTAGCCCAAGAGGCCTCCAAGACGGCTCTAAGAAGGGGCCCAGACAGGGAATCCGAACGGACCTTTCGGGCCTTCGGCCCCAAAAAGCACCTATTGCCCCCCCCCCCCCCCCCCCAATGCTAATGCCATCGCCCCCCCCCCCCCGCGCCGCGATGGCCCCCCCCCTGTGGGCGTGGGCGTGGCGTGGTGGTGAGAGGAAGCGGGAATGGGGGAGCAAGGTAGGGAAGAGAGAGCCAAAAACGAGGAGGGAGGGATGGAGAGGCGGATGGGGGGAGGAGGAAAAGGAACATCGTCGTCGACGGTGTCTTCACCGTCGTCGCCTCCTTCTGGGTGTGGCGTTGTGTTCTGGTGTTTAGGGAGCCGGAGCGGACGGTGTCTTCGTCGTCGTCGTCGTCGTCGTCGTCGCCGTCGTCGTCGTCGTCGTCCTCCTCCTCCTCCTCCTCCTCCTCCCATCCCATCTGAGGGGGGGGGGGCGAGGACCCTGGGACCCATCCCATCTGGGTGGGGGGGGCCCGTGGGCCCGGAGCCAGCGACCATATATTCCGGGGGACGTGGCCGGGGGGGTCCCGCCCAGGCACCTCGGCGGCGCATGGGGGTCCCGGGGCCTCACTTTCCTTTTTTTCTTTGCAGGGTTTCGGCGACCCCGAGCCAACACAGAGCCCCAAGAGGTTGATCTCGCCTGGTGCCCCAGGTCTCTCACAGGCCTCCCAGAGGCCTCCAGCACAGCTCCCCGAAGCTCAAACATTTGGTTTTCCAATCGTTTTTCAATGTTTTTCTCCTCTCAGCCTGTTCTGCCCCACGCTGCACGGCAGCCCCAGAGGACGCCCAGACCGTCCCGGTTCGGCCCCAGAGGTTCCCAATCTTGCTCCCAGATGGCTCCGCATGGGAGGATCGGCGCGCACTTTCCCTGAGTTTTTTTGCAGGGTTTCGGCGACCCCGAGCCAACAGAGCCCCAAGAGGTTGCAGGGAGCTCCAGAAGAGGCTGATCCCGCCTGGTGCCCCAGGTCTCCCACAGGCCTCCCAGAGGCCTCCAGGACAGCTCCCCGAAGCTCAAACATTTGGTTTTCCCATAGTTGTTCCATGTTTCTCTCCACGCAGCCTGCCCTGCACCCCCACGCTGTGCGGCAGCCCTAGAGGACGCCCGGACCGTCCCGGTTCGGCCCCAGAGGCTCCCAACCTTGTCCGCAGATGGTTCCGCATGGGAGGATCGGCGCGCACTCTCCCGGTGTTTTTTTACAGGTTTCGGCGACAGAACCCCAAGAGGTTGCAGGGAGCTCCAGGGGCTGCTCCCGCCTGGTGCCAGAGGCTTCCCACAGGCCTCCCAGAGGCCTCTGGCGAGGAGGAGGAGGAGGAGGCCGACAACGCTGACGAGCTGGGGGGGGGTCCAGGCAGTTCCCTGTTGGGCCTCGGGTTTCGTTCCCCACTCCCTGGGGTGGGTTTACCGCTCCGGTTCGGCCTGTATCGGTCTGATTTGGCCCCAGTTGGTCCACGAGCGATCTTGGTTCGGTTCGGTTAGGGTCGCGACCATTCCGGTTCGGTTCGATTCGTCTTGGGGGGGACGCTGTTTCGCGGCCGTTCGATTCAGCCTGGTTCAGTCGAGGCAGTTCTGGAACCTTCTTGCAATGAAACGCTGCGACGGAGTTACGCCAGGAAGGAGGCAACACAGAACGAGATTTCCAAGGCTCCAGGAGGGTCGGCCGTCAGGACCCTCTGGAACGAGATCCGCTGTCGATGGCACTGCTTGCCGTGGCATCCTTTGGCGCCATGATGCCGTGACTAGAACCTAAGCGCGCGTAGCGCGCGTGGTTCTAGCACACACACACACACACATATATATATATATATATATTTATATATATATATATATGTGAGTGTATGTATGCATGTATGTATGCATGTATGTATGCATGTATGCATGTATGCCTGTATGCATGTATGTATGTATGTATGTAAAGATGTATGCATTTATGTATTTATGTATGCATGCATGCATGCATGCATGCATGCATTTATGTATGTATGTATGTATGTATGTATGTATGTATGTATGTATGTATGTGTGTATACATGCATACATGAATGCATGCATGTATGCACGTATGTGTGTATGTGTGTATGCCTGTATGTGTGCGTATGTGTGCGTATGTATATATGTATGCATGTATGCATGCATGTATGTATGTATGTATGTATGCATGTATGCCTGTATGTATGTATGCATGCATGCATGCATGTATGTATGTATGTATGTATGTATGTATGTATGTGTGTATGTGTGTATGTGTGTGTATGTGTGTGTGTATGTGTGTGTATGTGTGTGTATGTGTGTGTACGTGTGTATGTGTGTATGTATGTATGCATGCATGCACACACATATTTATATATATATATATATATATGTGCATGCATGACTGCATGCATGCATGCATGCATGATGCATATGTATGTATGTATGTATGTATGTATGTATGTATGTATGTATGTATGTATGTATGTATGTATGTATGTATATATATGTATGTATGTGCATACACATATATATATATATATATATATATATATT